AAAATCCCATGGAACCAGCAAAAAGAGCATTTCTTGGCGCAGCCAGCTGATGCCGCAAAAATTTCAAACAATAATTTTTAACATGTCAAAACTGCACGCAAAGTTACCTATTTTTTCGAGTTTCTTTAAATCGAATGTCTCTTTACGCGTCTGCAGTTCACTTAGCTTAAATCAAAATAAAAATCCCATGGAACCATCAAAAAGAGCATTTCTTGGCGCAGCCAGCTGATGCCGCAAAACTTTCAAACAATAATTTTTAACATGTCAAATCTGCATGCAAAGTTACCTATTTATTCGAGTTTCTTTAAATCGAATGTCTCTTTACGCTGTTGCAGTTCACTTATTTTAAACCTAATTTAACTATCGAAAAGAGCAGTTGTCGACACATCAAATAAATATCATGAAAACCAAAATAAATGTTTCGAACCTATGAAAACTTCTCCTGATGATTATCTATTTTTTTGTTTTGGAGTTTCTTAAGATCGTACGTCTCTTTACGTGGCTGCAGCACAATTGTTTTAAATCGTATTTAAAATCCGAATGAACTGCGAAAAGGATCAGTTTCTGATGTAACGAATAAATGGGTTGATGTTGAAAATTTATAGTTTTGAACTTAAAACTCCTCGCGAAAGTTAGTTACTTTTCATAGCTTTTTAAGAACTGCACCTTTTTACGCAGCTTTAGTTCACTTCTTTAATTTTTTCAATTTATAATCGGTTCAAATTGTTAAAAAGAAAAGCTTGTGGTGCATCGAAGTTACAATTCTAAACCAAATGAAAATGCTGGCGAAAATTAGCTATTTTTTTTATGTTTTATATAGAAAAACGTCTCCATGCACCGCTGCAGTTCTTTTATTTCAGGTCCAATTCAAAATCAGTCTGAATTTTCCGTTGTAAAATGAAGATATATTTTAAATTCGAATAATTATTAAATGCAGTTGCGTTGATGTAACTATGGTCGAATTATTAAAAAATTTAAATTTAAAATTTCTTCTAGCAATTAAGAAATTAAATTAAAGAACGTTTATCTTCGATGCCTTAATGTTTAATAATATGAAAACAATTACTAATGAAAAACTTACCTTCGTGGTTTCAGTCGATCTATTGCTTCCTTCATCGTTGATGTATTCTAATATATTGTGTACGCCCACACTGCTTTGCAAGGTAATCCCAAAAACAGCTGAAACAAAATGAAATATTAATTTGTTTTCAAAACTTTTCAAAATTTTAAATAGAAATTGTTCTGGTTCATCTTTGTCTTAGCAAATTTTTCATCAAATAGGTACCACCTTCACTAATGTTTTAAGCACATTAACTTCAGTTCAAAAAGTCGTTTAAACACTAAATCAATGAAGTTTTAATTCTAGGCTTCTTTGTTCACTTATTTTTTCTTAGAAAATATCTAACACAAAAATATTTAAAAAATTCCATGATCATCTATATATCAATATTAAGGTGTTTCAAAAAACTGACTATTTTGTTTTTTTTTTTAAAGAACATTGAAAAAACGACAGAGTATCCCTAGACATAGATCCTGTTAAAATATGAACCTTAATATTAATATTTACCGGTGGCATTTTGCAATTTTCTATTTCGCGTTTAAATAATAGGAATTCGTTTTCTTGTTTAATTTTGGTATTTTATAACTCGACAACAAATAGTTACCGATACATATTCGATAATTATCGATAGTTATTAATATATCGATATATATCGATATTTTTGCCTATAACTAACCGTGTGAGATATCAAATGAAAGGGCTTCTTGTAAGGATCTGAAATATATATATA